CATATTTTATTGTTGACTTGTTTAGACTTTAATTTGTTTGCTGTTTAATATTACTCACAAGATCTCTTCAATAAAAACTGCATAACCTATACAAACAACACATCTGGTTTCATTAGCTGTGAATCACACTTTGAGTCTAAACCAACACCAACAGGACTGGAAAGACTACGCCATTCACTAACACGCTGTAAGTGTGACTTCCTCTGTCGGTTACATTAACTGGAACAGGGGGAAAGCCTATTGCTCAATTGCTGAATGCATATACGGATCCACTTTGATTGCAAAGCACTGTTACTTGACCACTAACATGAGATTACTGTTAGTGCTGTTTCTCATCTCACATGCGAATAGTTTAGCCAATCAAAGGGTATTTATGTCAAAGTCTTGAGAAAGGGTGGAAAATGTTAAATGTTACAAAAGATTTTCAAATCAATGCTGTTTCTTTTTAGTATGATTTAAGGAGCATGTGACACACTGAATTCGACTTTGCCATCAGATGAATAAATAGAAAACAGTTCATTTAAATTGTAATAATGTTTCACAATATTACTGTTTTTACTCTTATTTAAAAAAAAAAAAATGAATACAGCCTTGGTGAGCATAAGAGGCTTCTTCCAAAAACATTAGAAAATCTTACAGATTTGAATGGTAGTGTAAATATATGTGCTGGAAATATATAATCATAGGAAAACACAAATGGTTATCTTGTACAGAATGTCAGCCATGCTTTTTTTTATACAAGAGCTTTCTGGAAATTTTTATCATTGGGTAAACTGTCCTTTTAATGAAGTGTGGATTTTGTTTGTGTGTGACATTTGGATTTGTTTCTCAGTTATTTCTGTAGTCATGCTGCACTGTTCTCCTGCGATTTTCAAGGCTGTCAATGTTTTTTCTCTTTTTTAAGAGTGACATGTTGTGGTATTCACTGTCCCGCTGTTCACTGTCATGCATATATTAAAATGCGCTGCACTCAAAGTTCTTGTTTTGTGTTTACATCAGCCCAGGATAAGTACCAGAAATACTGAGTTGCATCTCACGTTCTTGTTATATTTGTTCTTTTTGTTTATGGCTCAGCTCCTTTAATTGCTTGCAAGCTCCATTTCCTGTCAAGCCCTGCCAGGTCTCTCCAGACTACAGAAAATCCTCTCTGCTACCATGCACCTGTTATGTGTGCATCTGTATGCAGGACACAGAGGCGCTCTGTGCCTCGTAGTTCAGATGTGCCTTTGTGTGGGTCCGAACAGCCCAGCTGAGTGGTCTTCTACAGGTGCATCTCAATAAATTAGAATGTCGTGGAAAAGTTCATTTATTTCAGTAATTCAACTCAAATTGTGAAACTTGTGTATTAAATAAATTCAATGCTCTAATTTATTGAGATGCACCTGTACATCTACACAGACATATATACATACACAAACTGGCATGTTGAAACTTATGTGCAATGGTACAAGCCAGCACGCTATAACATATGACCCTGTTTGGATGGAAACAGGATAAGAGTTTGCCTATGGTCTTGTTTGCAGTTGTTGACATTTTGGACGGCACACTAACAAAGACCGTTCCTTTCAACTGCGGTTTTCCGTGTATCCCAGTGCCATGACATCCCTATTGAGATGATAGCGGACGAGGGAGTTAAATGACCAATTGGACTGGACTTTCTCTCTCTGCGTGTCTGCGCTCCACAGTGGCCAGTTAATAACTTGGCCTGTTTATTCTGCCCGTGCTGGCAGTCCAAGGGGTTTCCTGTTTACACACTGAGTCGTATGCATGTGTGTCTTGTTGAGTCTTTCAAAAACAGATAACCGCTTGCTTTCTCTGGTTTATATACTGAGCAGGGCTCAACAATGGTTCGCTTGATGTCCTGGGGCCATTGTGAGAGTTTCGAGCCAGATGAAGGAGCTGTCACTTGTTTTGCATCATATGTCATTATTTTCCAGCAAACATACTTATGTTTATGGATATAGATGTGGACTATGTAATGTTGGCAGTGCAAGCAGAAAAAATGTTGTTGAGCCCTGCTGAAGAAAGATGAATGTGTTGATGCCTCATTACAGCAACAACATGAGGTGAAGCCCCTTCACAAAGAGGAGTAAATTAACATATCAAACGCAATCCATCTCTGTCAGTGCAGGAACAACGCTTCACAGGAAATACCTGGACCTCACTCATACTGAAAAACCACAAACTCAGACTGATTTCCTGAAAAACCACCACCACAACAACATAAAAATGTTAATCTCAGTTTTCGCTGATGTATTCCTTCCAAGCAGCTGGGTGGTTGTAAGAGTTGTGCCGTTTGGATTGTACTGAGGCTTGCCGTGGAGCATGACGACTGGTCAGGAATAGAGAGAGAAAAAAACAAGAGCTAAGAACTGTGGTATTGATTTGGAGGAGAGAGACTGCGCTATAATAAAAAACAAAAGCGCAATAATGGTTCAAAGCCTACTGATTAATCGGTTAAATAATTGACGATTAGGCTAGTTGATTAATCATTCTAATAACAATTGGATTATGAGAATTGGTCCCTATACTAAAGTGTTACCAAATGTCATCATTAGAATATTATTCAAATTATTAAACAACAGCATTAATAATAATAATAATAATAATAATAATAATAATAATAATAATACTTATTGTTTCGCTAAAGGACCTTGAATCTGGAAATAAAGTTAAATGAATGAATAACTATTATTATTATTAATCTTAAAAAAAGTTATAAATTTAGTATAGGGACCAATTCTCACTATTAGCTAGTGGTATATTAGCATGCCTATTATTACCATATTGGCTGTTTATTAGTAAAGCATATATTGTGCATGACCATATTCTACATCCCTAATCCTACGCAATACTCAAACTAAACAACTACCTTACTAACTATTAATAAGCAGGAAATTAGGAGTTTATTGAGGCAAAAGCCGTACAGTTAATGGTTTGTTAATAATGAGAATTGGACCTTAAAATAAAGTGTGACCAAATAAACAAACTACATGACAAACAAAGATAAAAGACAGGAATAATGCATAAAAGAACAAAAGAAAGCAAGACAGGAGAAAGAAGAATAATAAAAGAGGGATAAATCAAAACATTTAAATAACAATAAGTGAACAGATGCATTTGGAGGGAGTTCCAGTATTTAGGGTTTGCTCTACTGAAAGACCTTCCACCCAGAGGACAGTCTGAACTTTGGCACTGTTGATAAATTGGCTCTGGAAGACACAAGAGTCATAGCGATATGTCCAGAAGAAAGCAATAGTTTGGGTGGAGATGCTGATTTTTTTCAAAGCTTCTGATGGTCACATGAAAGGCTTTGTGAGCTGAGCTGCACATGTTTGCCATGCTTCCCCTTACAGTGTCAGCACCCAGACAGCAGCTTTGTGTTAGCTCAACTCATAAATTCAACCAGTGAAAAAAGGCTTTGTGTTTCCTTTGTTGATGGTAAGAGTGGAGTCAGGTTGACACAGCAAGACTGTGCTGTCTGTGGAGGAAAAAGCTGTTGTGCATAACTTAGACCGCTGTGCTGGATCAAAGCTTTTTGGGTCTTGGAGATCTGCAGCATCTGGAAGTGGGTCAGTACTGGCTCTTGCTCCGAGATGGTCCTCACTGCAGAACACAAGATCCAGGAGGCGTGGTTGGATCCAGATCCAACTCCTCCCACCTTACATATACCTAAACCTACCTACCTCCACCTCCTGATCCCTAAACCCACCCATCTCCACCCCTAAACCTACCATTCTCCACCCCCTAAATGTGGATTCAACCACGCCCCTTGGATCTCGTGTTCTGCAGTGAGGGGCTACTGCTTGCTCCAGCTGATGACAATCTTCTGCAGTGAGAGAGAAGACACTTGCTCATCGTGAACAAAGTGACCTGCAGAGGCAGCACTGGGTGGTGTGGCTGTTTTAATTGCTGTATTGTTTACAATTTCTCTGGCAGTAAGTATTTATGCAACTTACGTTTGCAATGACTTTTCATAAATGTTTTGAAGTCAAAGAATGTTGTGTACAATACAAAAAGCTCCTTCCATAGTCCCTTCAGTCCTTAGTCACTTCAGCCCATTTATGGTTTAAACCCATTTTACATAAGCTGTAAAATGGCTCATATGTAGCTTATCATGGTATTGACATCACTCGAACATGTTAATCTATGACCATCCATGGTTATTCAGTATTCAGCAGCTTGTCCCACTCTGATGAATGACAGTTTGATCAGTCACATAGAGGCCATTTCAATGTAGAAAGCTTGTTTAATTTAACCAGGGATTTTGAACCAATGACATTTCACTACACTTTATGTATAAATTGTTTCCAAACAAAGATACAGTAAAACAATAATACTTTGAAATATTTAAAAAAGTAATTTATTCCTCTGATGGCAAAGCTGAATTTTCGACAGCCATTACTCCAGTCTTCAGTGTCACATGATATTTCAAAAATCATTCTAATATACTTTGGTTTTGAGTAACATATCTTATTATTATCAGTTGTGCTGTTGTGCGACATTTTTTTCTTTTATCATTCTTTGATTAATGTTCAAAAGAACAGCATTTATTTGAAAAAGAAATCTTTTGAAACAAGACATCCATCTTTACTGTTACTTTTGATCAATTTAATGCATCCTTGCTAAGTACAAGTATCAATTTCCTTCCAAAAAAAAAACTTTTGAATACTATTACTTAACGTACAGCTATGAAGAGTAGGAGTTAAAATCAGTGAGATTTCATTACACTTTGTAATTTTTTCCAAACTTTTTTATTCTTACTGTAAGTATACAGCACATGGCCTAGCAAAGAGTACATTCATGATCACTACATTCCAGGGGTTTCTTTTTTGCGCATAGAGCTGGTTTTGATTCTTACCTGAGCTGAGCAGTGCATTCACGGCTGATTAAGTGTATTAGAAAGCTTTATATTCCTCTTCCTTCCCCTTCCACCACCCTTTCTCACGGCTTGACCTTTGCCCTGGTTTTGTCTCTACCAGTCTCCCAGCTGATCCCCCCTCCCTGTATTATGCCTGAGGTAGAGGTCTACACGGGTCCAAAAATTCGTACCCGAACCCGAAGAGACCCGTAAATGTGCTACACTGAACCGACCCGGACCCGTCTATTATTTTGAAAGATGGACCCGGGCCCGTGCAGAACTGAGAAATGTAAAAAATGTACTACCCGGAACCGACGCGGAACGTCAATTATTTGAAAGATGGACCCGAACCCAGCCGGGAAGACACAGACCCGACTGGACCCAATCGGCACATATTCCACAGCAAATTGCTATTAACAAGTCGACAAACAAGTTGCGAAAATTAAACTTTTTGTCTTAACTAATGTAAGAAGACTTCTCCGTTGTACCTGACTGTGATGCACACAATCCTCCTTGCCAAGAAAGTTCCATCCGTGTTATTCCTCTCTTGCCAATTGAAATGTGTAATCCACTCATTATTCCAGTTTCAAAAGTCCACTTGCTGTCACGGTGACAGATGACAAATGCGACTCTGCAGTTTTGCATTTTTTGTATCTCGAGTCAACTTGCATAATAATTTAGACTGTTTGCCCATTTGGATTATAATAACGATTGCTCGTCCAGTGCCATGGCTGCTGACGTTCGCTTTACTTATTTGCTATCATCTCTGTGCTCTCTGAGGCGAGTCTGAGCAAAAATTTTAGATATAACAACAAGATGGTTCATTCATAATATGATTTAAAAAAGAATCAATAATAACTCACATCACTCATGAAGGTATCCATTATCACCGTGCGTGTGCATTAACTCCGCCCACCCTGCTTCTGATGACGTCGCTCGTGGTTTTTTTTGTTTTTTTTTCACCTTATTTCAAATTACCGACTCACACTTTTCTCATCCTAATTTTACAAGTTGAAAGTTACAAAACAACACACGCACAGCGCTGACTGACTCTGATAACGGCCGGGTGTTCTCCGAGTCCGATCGACTCGGGTATTACACACAATGTTAAACAGACCCGGGACCCGAAGTAATAGATTGGGACCCGACCCGGACCTGGCTGACCATTTAAAATATAGCCCCGAACCCGAACGGATTCTGGGTCGGGTCCCGGGTCCTCGGGTCTCGGGTCCTCCGTGTAGACCTCTAGCCTGAGGCTGCTTTGAAAACGTCTTTACAAAAGTCGGTGAACAAAAGATTTAAACTCAGACTGTCATCTCTATTTGCTTTACCAGTTCTCCCATGATCTCTAAGCAAATGTACTGTGTAATGTGTCATAGCTAATGTTATCAATTAAATATTTATTTATATATTTATTCTTTTGTTTTTAATTGTACTAAAACAACATGTTAAAATGGCAGCCTTAGCTGTAACGGAGATAATATTGGCTGCAATCTAGGACAAGATGTGTTTGAGCATGTGACTGTGTGGATGTATAAGAAAGTATTGTGTGTGTAAAGGGTGTAGTTCAAGTTAATTCATCAGGCAGGAAATGAGATGAATGAGAAGAGAGCTTTTAATGAAGTTTAGAGTGTGCCTGAGGTGCATGTATGGCAGGCTCCTGCTCTTAGTCTTGTATGCTAATTTCTCTGGCGTATCTGTGTGGAATGGGTTGAGATCTCCTCTTTCTGGGCTTCAAATAAAGTATGTGTCTGTGATCCACAGAGACCCAGCCTGACACAGAAGAGCTGTATACACCCAACCATGTCTACAGAGATGATGATGCAGTCCTGTCTCATGGACCGGAGCAGCAGCTTTTTTAAGGTGAGACACATCGCCACTGTCCTCTGAGCTTTGCCTTGTTTTCTGAATGTGTCTGCCTGCATGTTCTGGATGTAGATTTGCATGTGCTGTATTTTATCATCACATGAGCTTCTCTAACTGAGCCTCCTATATTAAAAAGCTGGTTATAACTTTTTAAGTTGTTACATAAAAATGTAGATGAGTCTTTTGGACTCCACTGACTTTAATTGTATGGACAAAAAAAATCATTTTTCAAGAATCTTTTTTTATGTTCCACAGAAGACAGTAAGTCATACAGGTTTGGAACAACATGGCTAAATGATGACATTTAAATTTGTGAATGAAATGTCCTTTTAACGTTCATCTCAGTTGATCCCAAGTTGTTAATGCTAAATACAGTTGTAAATGTTTTGTGATCCAATCACTCAAACCCCATTCAGTAGTAGTCAGAAACACAAGTAAGCACATGGCCTACAAATTGACGTCATGATTGAACGGCACTATAGTTTACATTTTACACAGTAATGTGTCAACCAGCAATAAATGATGCATTGAAACACACCATCACTGGGATGAGCTTGCTTTCAGTACACGTCCTACTTTAGAGCCAGACAGAGTGCAGGTTAGTCAGGGCCTCTGGAGACCCCGTGGAATGCTGCTCTGTCCGTTCACTGTGCCAGTGCTAAAGCTGCAGAGCTTAAGAGGTTCTCAGAGGATGATAGATCCAGTTGTTATCTCTGCAAGCTATTCTTCCAACAAACATGTTGCCAGCATGTGTTGTGATTATTTCATGCAGGAGGAAGTTGTAGTTGTAAGTGCGAGCTTTGTTATATGTAAACAATCAGATGCAGCCAAAGGCAAATAAATCAGGCTTTTGCTCCGACGCTAATCGGCCGTTATGAATGCATGATAAGATTAAGAACGTCAGTGAACAAAAATTTATATTCCTCCTTGTTTCCTTAACAGAAAACACTCCCGTAACATCTCTCCTCTGTCATAAGTTTAGATGATCCTTCAGTGGAATGTGGTGAGCGGTTTGAATTTTACCTTTGTCATCTATTAAAGGAACAGTTCATCAAAAAATGTACTCGCCTACACGTTGTTCCAAACATGTATGACTTTCTTGTTTCTGTGGAGGACAGATGGTGAATTTTCAAAGAATAACCTGACTGCTCTTTTCCAAATAATGAAACATGGAATAGAATACTGGCAAGAAGACTTAGCCATATGGAAAACTTTTATGATACTAGGAATGCACAATATCAAAATTCTTGTTGATACTAATAAGTTAACAAATATTTTCATGTTATGGCTAATAACGGATAAATGGCTGATATTAATATTGAATGTGAATGTAGGTGTTACAGCATTATAATGTACAGTATGAAATATATATATTCATTCTGATATTTGCTAAAGATTATGTTTAACAGTGTCATTCAATTATACGTTTTTAAAGATTAACTTAAAGGTCCCATATTGTCAAAACTGAAATTTCCTGGCTTTTTTCATGATAACTGAGGTCTAAGGGCTATGTAACTTACCATATAAGTTTCAAAACAGTCAATCCACAGACAAATGCACACAGCCTGCATAAAGTAGCTGTGCCTTTTCACGATTTCACGATGCCGTTGTGACTTCTGTAAAAAGGTGATGTCAGAACTACACAGTCACCGCCTTCAGTCACCACCCCGAGCACTGCCCACAGTCCTACTCTCCATTTGCCAAAGCCCCAGACAACATCATGTCCATGCCATTGCTGAGCAACAACAACACGGAAACATGTCAAGAAAACGCTGTTCAGTCGATGGATGTCAGGAAACTACATCATTGCACAGGCTTCCGAACTAGGGTTGGGCCGATATAGACGATACCATCGTCCATCGCCGATGGCTGATAGACTTCAAGATGTTGAGCCGGCATCGTGATCCTCCCCATGTAACTTCTCTCGCAGTTATATCATTGGGTAATTATACTGTTTAAAATGCGGGCATCAGGCAGGGAGCCGCTATTATGCCTGGCATTGAAACTGCTTTTGAATGCACGATTTTAGTTTCACTTTCACTTTCGAGATTCGCGATCACACGTACTTTGTTTATACTATGGAGCGGCAGTACTTACCACACATTTTACAAGATTAGATGTTTGTCAGAGGTGCTCAGGATCTGCAATTCGCCATCGTCCTCAGTCATCTCTCCTTACTCGGTTTATGTGGTAAGTGAAATTTTATGTAGCCTATTGTAATATAACAGGCATTATGTAATGTCCTCATACATTACCCGTAAGTAAACTTCTCACACATTTTATGTTACATTATGGAGCCAGCATAATCTGAAATTATAGTTTGTAAACGGTTATGCAATGCTAACGTGATGCTAACGTGTTGCTAACTTGATGCTGACGTGTTGTATCAGTAGGAAAGCAATAGTTACGTAGATTACTGCATTCGGTTTTTGAAAAAATAAAATGAATTACCATTCTGAAACATCCTGTTGTAAGCGCATTTGATGAGGTGGTTGGTTGTCGTCTGTAAGGCCGGAAAACATTTCCCTCAGCAGTGGCCATCATTACAGGTGTTTCTATTTTTCTATTTGCCATAGCAGGCTACAGCATACATGACCCTAGTTACCTGTGGTTGGCCTGACCGGCCCGTGTGTCACACAGAAAACAACAGGCCAATCAGAAGAGAGGCTCATGAATATTAATTACACAGGCCAAAATCGACCTGTTCTAAGCAGAGCTCCTGAGAAAGGAGCTGTAAAAATATATTTAGATGGTTTTTGGTACTTATACCGCAAATATATATTCTTAAGGACATCAAAACCTAAAATAAAACTCCAGAAAGATGTATAATATGTGACCTTTAAGTGAGTGTCAGATGATGACAGGGGTAAACTAAATGTAAAAAAACTAATTATGAGTTCATTAACATGCACAATTAAATTGAATAATATATATCCAATGTTTATACGATACAACAACAACAAAAAAAATCAGTAATATTAGCTGATAAACAGCTTGCAAACTTTTCATTTAAATTTAGACCATTTTTATTTAATTAATATAGATTAAAATACTAAACAAACACTAAAATTAAGAAGCACAAAATTAAATCAAAATCATATTTTTGAGTTTATTTGTTAGAAATACCAGAGGTACATATCAGCTCAGTTAGGAGGGCCTTCAAATATTATCTCAGACAGAGCGGGGCTTGTTGAGAACCACTGCTATTATGATATCATTTACTTTAATTTTATGGAAAAGAGTGGCCACGATGTTCCTTAAAATGTAAACTTTAAACTTTTATTTCCACGGAATACAGATGAGGGTTTGGAATGGTGTGAGGGTGAGTCAATGATGACAGAATGTTGCTTTTTGTGTGAGCAGTCCCTTTAATTGAATAACTCTGCTGCTGTCATTGTGAGTGTTTATTTTTCGAACACTGCTCTCAGTGTTAGGGCTGTGTTTGGCTGAAACAAGCGTACTAGTTAAATGTCAGCAGATAGTTTCCTAGAGTCTTGGCTGCTTTGTGTGCTGTGAATAACAACCTCACGGCTGGTTAAAGAGAGGCACCGATGACTGCAGCATTTGGAAGAGCTCTTGATCTCGCCAGTCTCCAGAACACCAGCCAGCACCTCACAGGCATCAGAATTTCCTAACAAATGTCCAGCCGGCGAAAATGCACCTTTTATTCTGCTTCATCACCTCTTTGAATGGCTCATCACTAAAGCTGAAGTCATTCTCTTCTTCTGGATGAATTCAGCACCGCAAGCTGAATGATTTTTCGATCAGATCTCTTTCTGTCTCAGCAGGATTGGGTTTGTTAGCTCTATTAAGCATAAATGATAGGTGGTTCTATTGTCGTCATTCTGGCCGACATTAGCTCAGAGTACTTTGCTGTGTTCTTGTAAATCTGTTGAAAATGTATCTTCTGTTTTTCTCTGTCAGTGCTGTTTATTAGGATTACACAATCTCATTTATATATTTTGAGGAAATTCCCTTGCTGGCAACATTGATCCTTTTTTGTATAAAATTAAGAACAGATTTTTTGAAGAACACATTTTATCTGCACCTCTATAATCTGGTGAAACCAGACAAAATTGATATTTTTGCACAGGTGGAAAAATCTCAAATAACTAATTAACTAAAGAAATAAATGCATAAATAACATATGATAAATAATATTACATTAATAAGTACTCCTAATAAAATGTTATGGCCAGTATAAGATTTTTTAAAAGTCTCTTATGCTTACAAAGGCTGTGTTTATTTGATTAAAATACAGTAAAAACAGTAAATATATTACAATTTAATATAAGTATTTTCTATATTAATATATTTTAAAATGTAGAAATCATTCTAATATGCTCATTTGTTGCTCAAGAACCCTCTTTAATTATTATCAGTGTTGAAAACAGTAGTGCGGCTTAGTATTTGGAAAGTGTGATACATTTTTTCATCGTTCTTTGATTAATAGAAAGCTGAAAAGAGCAACATTTGTTTGAAATAGAAATATTTTGCAACAATGTGAAAGTTTTTACTTTCACATTTTTGATCAATTTAATGCATCCTTGCTGAATAAAAGTATT